TTACCCCACCCCCCGGCCCTGCCTCAACTCCGCCCCTTCCCCAAATCCCCAGCCCTGCCTCCTCCCCCCAGGCTCTCAAGCCTGGGAGGGAGGGGGAGCAGCGGCGTGCGAATCAGCTGTTTCGCGCGCCGTGGCAGCAGCGGAGGTGAGCTAGGGCGGCCGGGGCACATTTTTAGGGGCGGCATTCTGGCGCCGGCCATGCCGCCCCTAAAAATGTGCCGCCCCAAGCACCAGCTTGTTTTGATGGTGCCTAGAGCCGGTCCTGCGTGTCAGGAGGTAAATAAAACTGGCCCGGCAGGGTGCTTACCCTGGCGAGCCGCGTGCCAAACGTTGCCGACCCCTGATCTAGTGGTTGCGCTAGTGGTAAGATGAAGATCTCTGGGTGAAGGGGTAGAGGATATGTACTGTTAGGCACCTTAACTTTCCATTTCCTTATTTTTGAGTTGTGTGTCGGGTATGTTGTGTGCAGCATCTTTAAGATATCTTTTTTTCCAGTTTAAATTGAAAACCAGAATGCTTAATTTTAATTTAGAATCAATTATTTTACCTATGTTCTGTTATTAAAATACATACCTTTTCAAGAACATTAATTACTTCTTTTGAAAAATACATATGTTTCAACCTAATACTAATCATACAATTTTGTGCTTTCATCTGTTTAGGTAGGCTCCATTCAAAAGGCATACTTATAGTAGAGCCACTTCTGTTTTGTGTTTTGTGTTTTTTTGTTTTTGTTTTTAAACAGCAATATGCAGCTTTCATTTCAGAAATTAAATCTGAAGGAGGAGGTATTTTGTTTTTATGATTGATTTGGCCAGTTAGATAGCAGCATAAAGAAGTCTAATACCCCAAACAGCGGCACTTACTGCTGTCTGGCCAAGGAGTGACATTGGAGTCAGAGGTGAAAGCAGCTTCTTGCTTCCATCCTCTCTGCAGGACAAGCATTGGTAGTTGCCAAATGCACACACTGATGTCCGTTCACACATGTGCAGATGGCTTCAGAAAGCAAATTGTTCCAGGCTTTCAGTAAGATTTTTGAAAAGGTGCTGGAAGTCAGGTGGAGTCAACACATTCATTTATGGTTATTAAAAGGTTGCATCAAAATGCTATTCAAACCAGGCTGCAGAATTACTAGCATCAGATAGCCTATGGCTTAAATATCCTGTATATTACAAAGATTTGCTTGAAGCATAGTACAGAGGGCCTTTTGTACAAAGCTCGAGGAGTTAGTCCTTGGCATTTGGCCAGCAATAAAGAAAGCTTGCCCTTGTGCCATTCTGTCCTCCACTGCTCAGATTCTGGCAGCAGTTTGACTTCAGTGTAATTGTTGGCACTAAAGCTAAACTGTGCCCTGAATGGCCTCTTCTGACAAAAAGACAGGAGTACAGAGGTCTAACACTGCATCAAATCTCTGTATTGGTCTACTGTAATAGAGGAGTCTGTTATGAGAACTTTTCATATCAGAGAGGCAAACAATAGACTACAGAGGCACCGTACTAAAGAAATCCCTTAAACAGAGTGTGAAGTATTTTTCATTTTTTCCACAGGATAATGAAGTGTCCAAACAGGATAAGAGAACAAATAGCTCGTTCTAGGGCAGGCATTAGTTTGGCTCTCTATCCACAGTTGTTGTTGTTCTACTCTTCTAATTTCTGTATAGTAGTTTAATTTTATATTCTTCATTCAGACCATACACAAGCATAGTCACAGATTTAAATTATAGGGTATTTTTATTGTTTGCAAGGCTTCACTTGCTTAATCTTTCTTTTAAAAAAAAAAAAATATATATATATATGTATACTTTCCCATTTCATTGAGGCAGATTTGGAAATCAAACCAGAAACTTCAGACTCTACTACGATGGAAAACACTTTGTTGGGGAGAAACGTTTTGAGTCCATCCATGACCTGGTGACAGATGGATTGATTACTCTTTATATTGAAACCAAGGCAGCAGAATATATTGCCAAGATGACAATAAATCCAATTTATGAACACATAGGATATACAACCTTAAACAGAGAGCCAGCACACAAAAAACATATGCCAACCCTGAGAGATACATATGATGGCAAAGAGGCTACAGGAGAAGATGAGGTAGCAGAGAAAAGGGTAAGCAATTGTTAAAACACACTTTTTTTTATTAGACTTTTATTTTATACTCTTAACTCCACTGAAGAATATTAAATATGTTTATAGGTGTTTAATCTAAATGGTTACATCAAATATTTTTGATGAATAGTAAGTTATATGTTAAGATGTTTTAATAATCTTTCCAAGTTTTTAAATGGAAATTTTTGCATATTGCAAATACCTCTGATTCATAAACTTTTATCATAAGGATCTTTGTTTTTTTTTAAAGAAATGATTGTTATTACAAATGTCAGTTCTCTGATAATCCAGATAGGCTAAAGATATTTAAACTTAGTTATTTACTGTGCAAAAAGACTATTGCCCTTTAATACAGAAATGTATTCCAAAATCTATTCAGCATTCCCCATACAGTGATAGTAAAGTTGTCCACTTTATAAATAAGTCTGTTCATTAACAAGATAAAATGTTAAAACATTTCACATGACTAAGTTCAGCCTGTCAGAAACTGACAGAACTATTTTTGGCCTCAACCAGGCTTATGAAGAAGGATATCTCTCTTCAGAGACTTGCATTATCAACTGAGAGCTAAGTGCATTGTGGGGGGGTTAAAATAAATAAATACATTAGAACCAATGCAGGATACATTTCAGACTTTGTACTCTTGCAGAACATCTTTAATGTAATGTAGAAGACCCCAAAAACAGTTTCCATGTAGCTTTGTTAACATGACAGATATAAAACTTGTTTTTAAATTCATATTAATACATTTTTAAAATAATGATACTTTTTAAAATAACTAGAGGAAAAATTGATTGCATTTGTTTATTACAAAGATTTCCATTTATGGGTTTTTTAAGTGTGTGTTTAAAAATATTACTTAAAATATCTGTATATTCACACATATATAATATGCGCTGTAGACTCTCCTGTTACAATGTAATTAAGAGTTTTTTGCAAATTACTGTAAATCACAAAAGAAAATACTACGTTTAGGTTTGATTACACATTCATCTTCCCAATCAGAGATCAGGAACACATTTCGTGTAATCCTTACATGTATTGACATTCTGTGTCTACGCTGCTGTGACTGAACTTTTTTAATTTAGTTAAATGTAGTTAATGATTGTACATAGAAGATTAGGGTTGGAAGAGACCTCAGGAGGCCATCTAGTCCAAATCCCTGCTCAAAACAGGACCAACCCCAACTAAATCATCCCAGCCAGGGCTCTGTCAAGCCAGGCCTTAAAAATCTCTAAGGATGGAGATTCCACCACCTCCCTAGGTAACCCATTCCAGTGCTTCACCACTCTCCTAGTGAAATAGTGTTTCCTAATATCCAGCCTAGACCTCTCCCACTACAACTTGAGACCATTGCTCCTTGTTCTGTCATCTGCCACCACTGAGAACAGCCGAGCTCCATCCTCTTTGGAACCCCCCTTCAGATAGGTTCAAAAGCTGCTATCAAATTCCCCCCCTCCCCCCCTTCTCTTCTGCAGACTAAACAAGCCCAGTTCCTCAGCCTCTCCTCATAAGTCATGTGCTCCAGACCCCTAATCATTTTCATTGCCCTCAATATATTGGAAAATATAGCTGTCCATTTTAATCACCTGATTTCTTGCCTGAAACTAGCAGTGGTGTAGGTCTGATTTACCTGGGTTCTGTTCCCTGGTGCCATTGACTGGCTGTGTGATGTTGAGCAAATCACTTAACCATTCTGTGCCTCCGTTTCCTCATTTATAAAATTGATACTAATGCTTATCCGCTTTTGTAAAGTGCTTGGCATGACATACAGTTGAAAAGCACTGTGAAAGTAGTACTGTGTGACCATCTCTGACTGCCAAAGTTCACTCACCAATGTGAAAGAGAAACAATATGCATTTGAACATGTCTCCAGAATTTATCTCTAGTCCCAAATGAAGCCTATTCCATTAAAAATAGGTTTATCTTATTTACAGACTTCATTTATTGGGAACAAGAATACTGTTTCAAATCAATAGGTTGGGTCAACATTCTGAAATATCAGTTTGCCCCTATAAATGACAGCTGTAAGTAAAATACCTTTTTTAAATAGCATAGACCAGAGGTTCTCAAACTGTGGTCCGCAAGCTCCATTCAGGTGGTCCGCAGATAGTTCCCTCTAAGGTGCGTGCCTGGGCAGCCGCACACAAGAGAATGAAGGGCCACCCACCTAATTAGTGGAGCTGCGCGGGCGTGACTCCACTAATTAGGTGCCTGGACCCTGGAAAAGATGCACATGTAAGGTGAGGTGGTGGCCTTGTGGGGAGGGGGCAGTGGGGTGAGAAGACAGGGTGGGGGGAATTTGGGACGTGCAGGGCTGCGGCGACCAGAGAAAGAGGCAACTTTCCCCAGCTCCAGGGCTTTGGCTACTGGGGAGAGACGGCCCTCCTTCCCAGCCTCAGCTCTGTGGCTGCTGTGGCAGGGGATAGAGGGCACATCCATTGCATTAGAAAGGTAAGGCTACTGATATTAAAATATGAGTTGTATGCTTTTATTTGTAGAACAAAAAAACGTTGTTTTTTTTATATAGCGCTTTTATCCAAAGCGCTTTACGATAGATAGCTAATGGTACAAACAACATTTGGAAAGATCATTAAGTGGTCCACCAAGACCCTCAGGAATTTTCAAGTGGTCTGCGAAAAAAAAGTTTGAGAACCACTGGCATAGACTGTCTAAATGGCTTATATGCTTTTTCTTCAGTACTTAAGAAGCTTTCTCCTCTCCCATTGAACTCAGAGGGGACTCAAGGGGACTCAGACTGAATTCTATAGATCCCAACAATGGGGGATGTAAAATATTAGTAGAAAATGTCACCTGTTAATTACAGGTAAAGTTCAGTCCAGTGTAGAAGGCTGACACAAGGTCCTCCACACCACTTACACCACCTAATAAGGGCTTACATCATGTTGGAGGGTCTTGAGTGGGCTTTCTGCACTGGGGTTTCTTTCATTCTACAAGGGTTCGATTTAAGGCAAAACCTTGAACAGAAGTTCTGGAAATCACCAGGTCATGTGGGTGGTGGTGGTTGTGTGGTTTTTTGGTAAATTCAACTCTTATTGCATTTATCATACTTCACATACTCACCACTATTCAAAGCGAGTGCTATCATTGGAGTCATTTTGTGAAGAGGTAATAGAATTTTGTTGTTTAGTGTCATAACATTTTCTGCACTGCTGGAAAAGTTTGGACAGTGTAAGGATTGTAGAGGAGGTTATTATGGAAGGACACAGTTGTTGTTTTTTTCTTAGATGGATGCTATCAAGTCAGACTTCCATCAATAAAAATGTACATATTTTTTCTCATGGAATAGATCAAGAACTATTGAGTAGTTCTCTCAAATTGAAATTTTAGATGAAAAGCCTTAGACATATTAGTCATGTAATTGCCACATCCCACACCCTTTGTTTGGAAGTTATAAGCAGCCAAACTTGCTTTGACTCCAAAATGTATAACAGTCTGGATTGGCCCGAAGCCCAATTTTTATGAGTCTGGTCTCATTATTTGGTTTGGAACCTTATTGATGTGGGCACAGAAACAATGGGTCAGTCTATACTGCCAAAAAAAAATTTAAAAAAATCACTGCAGCGAGACTCAGAGTCAGGGTCTACTGACTTGGGCTTGCGCTACAAGACTAAAAATAACAGTGTAGATTTTCCCACTTGCACTGGAGCCTGGGCTCTGAGGGTATGTCTACACTGCAATAAAATGTCAATGGCTGGCCCATGTCAGCTGGCTGGAGCCTGGGTTCTGGGACCCTGCGAGGCAGAAGGGTCCTAGAGTTCAGCATCCCATTTGGGGGAAGGGTTCCAGAGCCTGGGCTCCAGCCCAACCCTGACATGTACACTGCAGTGTTATAGCCCTGCAGCCTGAGCCCCGCAAGCATGAGTCAGCCGACATAGGTCATCTATGAGTGTTTTATTGCAGGTAGATATACCCTGATACCCTTCCCCCTCACTGGTGTGAGCCCTAGTCAGTTGACCTGGGCTCTGAAACTCTCTGCCATGGAGGTGAATTTTGCAGTGTAGATGTAACTAGTGAGACGCACACATCATAGCATGGATAAATGCAGAGGCTGCAACTTCATTTAAAACTATTACCAAACTGGAGTAATGCCCCCAAATTACCCAGCAGGGTTATTCTAGTGTGGACTTCAGTTGGCACCCATGGCCCCAGATACTACAAACCTGAGGGTGGGCGTGTAGGCCATGCCCCCTATATACCCTTAGGCCTGCTCCAGGACCCTCACTGGAAACTGAACCAGGAAACCCAAAATGGCTACTCACCTATGCAGTTGTTCTGAGTTGGCTGAAACCTTGTTATAGGCTGAGTTAAAAAACCTTATGAAGTTCATAGATTTATAGATTCTAGGACTGGAAGGGACCTCGAGAGGTCATACAGTCCAGTCCCCTGCCCTCATGGCAGGACCAAATACTGTCTAGACCATCCCTGATAAACATTTATTTAACCTACTCTTAAATATCTCCCGAGATGGAGATTCCACAACCTTCCTAGGCAATTTATTCCAGTGTTTAACCACCCTGACAGGAACTTTTTCCTAATGTCCAACCTAGACCTCCCTTGCTGCAGTTTAAGCCCATTGCTTCTTGTTCTATCCTTAGAGACTAAGGTGAACAAGTTTTCTCCCTCCTCCTTATGTGACACCCTTTTAGATACCTGAAAACTGCTATCATGTCCCCTCTCAGTCTTCTGTTTTTCAAACTAAACAAACCCAATTCTTTCAGCCTTCCTTCATAGGTCATGTTCTCAAGACCTTTAATCATTCTTGTTGCTCTTCTCTGGACCCCCTCCAATTTCTCCACATCTTTCTTGAAATGCGGTGCCCAGAACTGGACACAATATTCCAGTTGAGGCCTAATCAGTGCAGAGTAGAGTGGAAGAATGACTTCTCGGGTCTTGCTCACAACACACCTGTTAATACATCCCAGAATCACGTTTGCTTTTTTTGCAACAGCATCACACTGTTGACTCATATTTAGCTT